GTTTGCTTGTCCTTCAAATCCTCATCCTTAGTTGTGGCAATATAATAGTGTCGTTGAAAAGATTATCATATCACAAGGAGAGGATTATAGCTTTGAGTGAAAAATGAGCCGCAGGAAGAGTAGAAGAATTTCCAGCATGCACTGATAATTCAGAGAGCTGAAATGACAGAATAGGTATATAGATATGTGTTTATTTATTACATTAACACATCTTTCCTTGAAAGAGCTCTGAGCGGCGTCTTCACAACAATTCTGAGGTAGGGTTATGCCTCGTGGCTGAATGGGAGTTTTAGCAGAGTCAAAAGCCAAGGTAAAATGGTATGTCTTCAGCATTCACCAAAAGCTGTACAATGAAGATGCCAGATGTACTTCGGTAGAGGGTGGGCAGAGAGTTCTACAACTTAGGAGCTGCCCCAGAAAATGTCCTTTTGCCACCACCACCCTGAGCTTCTGAGGGCAGTGGAACAATCAATAGGGCCCCATCTGCTGTTCTTACCATCTGAGGGGATCTGTAGGGAAGGAGGCAGTCTCTCACGCATTTGGGGCCTGAGTTGTTTAGGTCTTTGAACAATAACATGAGCACCTTAAGCAGGGATTTTAATGTGAGATTTTAATGGATCTCCAGCCAGTAATCTGGCCGCTGCATTTTGGACCAGTTGAAGTTTCTGAGTTGTCTTCAAGGACAGCCCCATGTAGAGTGCATTGCAATAATCCAGTCTGGAAGTTAGCAAAGCATTGAGTACAGTGGCCAAGTCATTTCTGTCCAAAAGCAGTAGTAAGCTGGTGAACCAGCCACAGCTGGAAACAGGTACAGTGGTACCTCGGGTTACAGATGCTTCAGATTACAGACTCCGCTAACCCAGAAATAGTACCTCGGGTTAAGAACTTTGCTACAGAAATTGCACAGCGGCAGTAGCGGGAGGCCCCATTAGCTAAAGTGGTCTTCAGGTTAAGAACAGTTTCAGGTTTAGGAACGGACCTCCAGAACAAATTAAGTTCTTAACCTGAGGTACCACTGTACTCCTAGCCCTGAAGGCCACCTGAGCCTCCAGTGACAGTGCTGAATCCAGCAGCACCACCAAGCTGTGGACCTGTTCCTTCTAGGGGAGTTCAACCCTATCCAGGGCAGGCCTTCTTCCCACCTTCCAGACATGAGAGCTTGGGAGACATAACAACACCTCTTTCTTTTCATGATTCAGCTTCAGTTTACTGGCCCACCCACTACCATCCCACTATCCCTCAAGCACAGGTCTAACACCTCAAGCTTCTCCCAGTTAACATGGAATGGAGAGATAGAGCTGGATGTCATCTGCACACTGAGGGCACTTCACTCCAGATCTCCTGCTGACTGCTCTCAGAGGCTTCACATAGATGTTAAATAGCATGGAGGACAAGACAGAACCCTGTGGGACACCACAGGACAACTCCCACGACTGCTTTCTGGAGCAGAACCACAGAAGCACAGTGCCTGCAACCCCAACCTCTCTGAGATGCTCCAGAAGGATACGGAGTCAAGAGTGTTAAAAGCAGCTGAGGAGACAGAGTAGTGTCACATTACCACCATCTCTCTCCCAAATGTCATCAACAAGGGCAATCAGGGCAGTTTCAGTGCCAAGACCAGCCTTGAAGCCAGACTGGAATAGTAAGGAGGGCATATTTCAGCTAGAAATTTTTACAATATATAATGTATTCCAGGGAGGATACCTGCAAGTTATTCCCATGGCTAAAATGGTAATGTTGGATGGATTACCTAGGAACTGGGATGCTGAGTCTTCAATGTTGCTTAGCAAACCTGTGACTGGCATGTGAACAAACTTGTGATTAAATCCTTTGAACATTTTGAACCACTTGGATATCTGCAAATCAAAAATCTCATGATGCATAGCAGGAAGAGTCTGGAGGATATGTGGAAAATTATATTGCAAAATGCCACTTGAGTGTTTATTGAACTCCCCCAACACATACTTGGTAACCTTTAACAAAGTGGGGAATTAAACATGTTTTGTTTAGCTATTTGCAGGTTACATTTTCGTACGTTTGTGGGTATCTTAAGTACCATATTCTGAAAGTAAAGTGAACAGCAACCATCCAAACTAGAAATATGCTGTAAAGCAATTAGCAATTAAAACCCTATGTCTGTAATCACCAACTCAGTTTTGCTAAGTAGTCACTGTAACAAATTTGCTGTTAGATAATCATCACTGTCTGTTCTTTTTGTATTTTATTTCCCTGCCCCCCCCCCCACCTCACAAGTATAGACAGAAACTTGCCGATTTAGGATTACACTCATATAATGAAGTAGACTGTGACCCATGAAAACTTATGCATTAATGAATTGTTAAAATTCTCGTCCCCCCCAATTGTTTAATGTCTATTCAATGTTTATTTTCATAGACAAAACATAGGTATTAGGTACGCAAGTTCTATGATTCTAACCGGTGGTTTTCACCCCTATCACGCAAAGCCTGAATGTGGATCCAAACCCTCTTAAAGAAAATGACAATGAGAATTTATGTAGCAATTTTGAAAGTGTTCAAAGCACTTAGCATGCAGTATTGCAGCAACTTCTACCCATCCATGTAAGAGTAGATAAGAAATGTTATCCCCACATTGCAGATGAGGAGCTAAAGCTGAGAGAGAATGATTTGCCTACAGATGCCTAGTGAGGTCATGACAAACTTTGAACCAGTGATAATTGACAGCTCGGTCTCTTAGCTACTAGGCTACACTACCTCCCACCTCTTCCATTAATTTTAGTGGCTGTTGATTATACCACTTGCTTGAGTTCTCCTTCCACTCATTTGTTATTTGTCATATATGATGTTTTTCAGAGTGTTCAAAACACTTCATGCACATTATTGCAGCAATTTGTTTTACAGAACATCCCTGTAAAGGGCAGGCCAAAAGCTTTGTCTACATATTGCAGATGGGGAGCTGAGGCTGAGAGATAAAGCTGTTGAGTGAGGTCAGGGCAGAGATATGCTTTGAACCAGGAATGGTTCTCTGCTCAGTCTTTCAGCCTACACTAGCTCTCAACTCTTCCACCAGTTTTAGTGGCTAAGGGTTGCACCACTCATTTGTTGTTATCTGCCAAGGTATTCCATCATATGCCTATTGTTTGTGGATTTAATTCCTGTGACAAAGATGAAGCACAGTGGACAGCTATGCTACCACAATGACTTTTAGCTGTGCAGTGCAACTTCCCTGCCCTCCCCTTTCCCCACAAGTTCCTTAAATCTGTTTTGGAGAGTTGGGGGCAGGGGGAAACCCAGACCAGATTTGGAGGGTACAGGGGGTGGGGAGGAGAGGGCATGCAATTTACACTGCACAGCTGAAAGTCTTTGTATTACTGTTTCCTTGACTATTGCCCTTACATACCCAGCTGCATTGGACTTCCTTCTGACCCTAGAGGGTACCAAGGTACAAAGAGCGGCAGGGACTCTTCCATTAGGACCCCTGGGTATGTCACAATGCTCATTTTTTTGCTTCAGGTTCTGAATAAAAATTACTGTGCAGAAAGCGATGACAAAACTCTGTTCAGGCCAAGGATATCCTAGGAACCGTCTCATCCCTCCTGCCCATCCTCCATATGTATGCATCAGCTGATGCAATCTCTGCACGGTTGCCCTGAGCTCTCTCTTCTTGTTTGACAAACTCTTGGCAAGAAAAACTGCTTCCAATAATGCTGGTCTCAGTGAAGTAGTCAGCCCTGTTTAACAAGTTTAAGAGAAAAAGGTTGAGAAAGAAATGGAAAGTCAGAGGCCTTCAAAACTAAAGCCTGATATCCGTAATCCTCTAGGGACTGACATTTTCTTTATATGGTCATGATACAGTAAGACTGCTTGCCAAGTTTCTATCTAGGCTTCTGAGTCAAGTTGGTAGTAGCACAATTCACAGGAATTCCTCCACTCCCCGCCCCCACCCCAGATGGAAAGCATGCATTTTGCAGAGAGAAAAGCTACTAGGGACAACAGTTGAAAAAAGGGGTGAGCACTCCCTGTGACTTCAAATTCCTTCACTCAAAAAAGACTTTTCTCTTAAAAACAAGTAAAAGACAATCCAGATTTTCTTAATTTACATTCACGTGTAACATCTAGCTAAGGCCGGAAAAAGGAGCTTAAGAAAACCCTGCTTCTGCACAACACACCTCTATTTTGTTTTGTGACTAACCGATTGTATATTTATTTAGTGACTGAGAGAAAATACTTGGCTAGCTGTAGAACCTCAGGGGTGGTGCCTGAATCAGTTCCTTCTCCATATGCAGCTGTTTAAAGTGGCAGTAATTATTAATTTTAAAGACCCGCCTGCCCCCGATAATTTAAAGGGTATTTTTGCACCTGATTTTAATTTCAGTTTTGTTTTGTGCTGTTCAAATTAAGCCTAACAATATACACAATAATGGATCTGATAGTGGATTTGTTTCTGAAAAAGCCAAGTTCACATCCTAGAAGAGGCAAGTGTCTTCTGTTCCTTTTCAGGGAAAAGCTATACCACTTATCAACTGGTCTGTGTCCGGAAGGGTTCATTAGAAGCTCATGGCATACAGCTATGAATTAGGGGTTTGACTATACATAAGAAACTTGTGAACTTAGGAATTCACATTTTAAAACCTAAGCTACCTTCTGTCTAGGCCAAGACATAAAAACACTTAAGGCAGGACTGTTTTAGCTACATGTGACAAACTAATACTGTATTTTTCGCTCTATAAGACGCACCCGACCACAAGACGCACCTAGTTTTTGGAGGAGGAAAACAAGAAAAAAAATATTCTGAATCTCAGAAGCCAGAACAGCAAGAGGAATCACTACGCAGTGAAAGCAGCAATTCCTCTTGCTGTTCTGGCTTCTGGGATAGCTGCGCAGCCTGCATTCGCTCCATAACACACACACACATTTCCCCTTACTTTTTAGGAGGGAAAAAGTGAGTCTTATAGAGCAAAAAATACGGTAGATTAGCAGCTGAGAGAGATGGGGGCAGGCCCAAAGGATATATTTTTTTAAAATGATATTTATTGAAGTTTCACATGAAAAGAGACATCTTAATTAAAAAAAAAAGAAATTTAAAAATAAAAAGAGAAATACACCATACAAAATACAAAAGAAAAAGAAAGAAAAAACAGTTAAAAACAATTCCATCTTTTCATCATAACTTTTACATTTACTTATTTCCCGGACCTCCTCATACCTCCCTCTTTTGTATTCCAATTCAATTTGTTTGTCCAGCAATTCCTTTCCCTCCTTTTTAATCGCAATCCTTAATCTTAATATAATATAACATTAAATTTTAACCTATTAAAAGCCAATTTTCCATTTCTTTTAACTTTTTTAATCCTAATCCTTAATCTTAATCTGTATATAACTTTAAAGCCTGTACAGCTAGAAGCCACTTCATTTCAATCCAACATCACTCTAACATTCTTTAATTTTGCAATATTTCCGTAAGTAATCTTTGAATTTCTTCCAATCTTCTTCCACCGACTCTTCTCCCTGGTCACGGATTCTGCCAGTCATTTCCGCCAATTCCATATAGTCCATCAATTTCATCTGCCATTCCTCCAGTGTGGGTAGCTCTTGTGTCTTCCAATACTTTGCGATGAGTATTCTTGCTGCTGTTGTAGCATACATAAAGAAAGTTCTGTCCTTTTTTTAGCACCAATTGGCCGACTATGCCCAGGAGAAAGGCCTCTGGTTTCTTCAAGAAGGTATATTTAAATACCTTTTTTAATTCATTATATATCTTCTCCCAGAAAGCCTTAATCTTTGGGCACGTCCACCAAAGGTGAAAAAATGTACCTTCAGTTTCTTTACATTTCCAACATTTATTATCGGGCAAATGGTAGATTTTTGCAAGCTTGACTGGGGTTATGTACCACCTGTATATCATTTTCATAATATTCTCTCTTATGGCATTACATGCCATAAATTTCATACCTGTGGTCCATAACTGTTCCCAGTCAGCGAACATAATGTTGTGTCCAACGTCTTGTGCCCATTTAATCATAGCAGATTTCACCGTTTCATCCTGAGTGTTCCATTTCAGCAGCAAGTTATACATTCTTGACAAAGTCTTAGTTTTGGGTTCTAACAGTTCTGTTTCTAATTTTGATTTTTCCACCTGGAAGCCAATTTTCTTGTCCGAATTGTATGCCTCCATTATCTGATAATAATGAAGCCAGTCTCGCACTTTGTTTTTTAATTTTTCAAAACTCTGCAATTTCAGTCTATCTCCATCTTGTTCCAAAATTTCCCAATATTTTGGCCATTCAACCTCCATATTGAGCTTTTTCAAGGCTTTCGCTTCCATTGGTGACAGCCACCTTGGAGTTTTGTTTTCCAATAAATTCTTGTATCTTATCCAAACATTAAACAATGCTTTCCTGACAATGTGATTTTTAAATGCTTTATGTGCTTTGACCTTATCATACCACAGATATGCATGCCATCCAAATACATTGTTAAAACCTTCTAGATCCAAAATGTCAGTGTTTTCAAGAAGCAGCCATTCTTTCAACCAGCAAAAGGCTGCTGATTCATAATAAAGTTTAAGGTCTGGCAGGGCAAATCCACCTCTTTCCTTTGCATCTGTTAGTATTTTAAATTTTATTCTGGGCTTCTTGCCCTGCCAGACAAATCTGGAAATATCTCTCTGCCACCTCTTGAAACAGTCCATTTTGTCCACAATTTGCAATGTTTGAAACAGAAATAACATTCTAGGCAATACATTCATTTTTACCGCAGCAATCCGGCCCAGCAGTGAAAGCTTCAAATTTGACCAAATTTCTAAATCTTTTTTCACTTCATCCCAACATTTTTCATAGTTATCTTTGAATAAATTCCCATTTTTTGCTGTCATATTAATCCCCAGGTATTTAACTTTCTTAGCCACTGTTAAACCTGTCACATTCTGAAACCTTTCTCTCTCCATTGGTGTTAAATTTTTCTCTAAAACCTTAGTTTTTAACTTGTTCAATTTAAATCCTGCAACCTGACCAAATTCTTGAATCAATTCTAAAACCCTTTTGGTACTAGATTCTGGCTCCTGTAGCGTCAGTACTAAGTCATCTGCAAATGCTCTCAGTTTGTACTGTTTAGTTCCGACCTGTATACCTTTAACCAGCTTGTCCCTTCTTATCATGTTCAACAAAACCTCCAGGACCGAAATAAAAAGTAGTGGGGAAATTGGGCAACCTTGTCGTGTCCCTTTTTCTATTTTAAATTCTTCCGTCACCACATTATTTACAATTAATTTAGCCTTTTGTTCTGAATAAATTGCACTTATACCATTTTCAAAGCCTTGGCCTACCCCCATACCCTGTAGGTTCTTCTTCATAAAGCTCCAAGAAATATTGTCAAAAGCTTTCTCCGCGTCCACAAATATCAAAACTGCTTTAGTATTTATATTCACTTCTAGTTTTTCCAAAATATCAATTATATTCCTCAAATTGTCAGACAAGTGTCTTCCTGGGAGAAAGCCCGCTTGATCTTTATGAATCTCTTCCATCAACACTTTTTAAAATCTCTTAGCCAAAATGTCTGCAAAAATTTTGTAATCCACATTAAGTAATGATATGGGACGGTAGTTCTTAAGCTGTGTCTTTTCAGTCTCTGTTTTCGGTACAAGTGTAATATAAGTTTCTTTCCACGACTCTGGTGCTCTTTTCCCCTCCATTATTTCATTACAGGCCTCTTTCAAAGGTTGTATTAACCATTCTTTCAAGGATTTGTAATATCTAGAAGTCAATCCATCCGGTCCTGGAGACTTACCCAATTGCATGTTTTGAATGGCACCTTCTATCTCCTGTTCGGTTATTTTATAGTTCAACATTAATTTATTTTCTTGAGAGATTTTTTGTAATCCATTTGTTTTCAAAAATTGATCTAAATCAGTTCCTTTCAGTGGCCCTTGTGTATATAGTTGTTTAAAGTACCTCTGGAAACAACTTCTGATCTCAGCTGGGTTCTGTATATTCCTTCCTTACACTTCTAAATTCGTAACTGTATTTAATTTTTGTCTTTTTTTCATTTGCCAAGCCAACAGTTTCCCACATTTATTAGCCGACTCAAATGTCTTTTGTCTCATTTGTTTGATTTTCCATTCTATTTCCTGATTCATCATTTTCATGTATTGTACTTGGTATAACTTTAATTCTCTCAGAATCTCTTGAGATTTTGGATTTGTTCTCAATCTTTTTTCACTTTCCTTTATTTTCTCCAATATCTTATCCTTCTTCTCATTTTGAATTCTCTTCTTTACTGCATTCTGTTGTATCAGAAACCCTCTCATAACCGCTTTACTTGCGTCCCAGATTACTCTTTTTTCCACGTTGGTATTCATATTTATCTCAAAATAATCTCTCAAGATTTTTTGGGCCTTCTTTAACACTTCTTCATCTCTAAATAAGGTGTCATTCATCCTCCATCTGAAGGAGCCAGCTGGTGTTAGTTTCATTTCCATCTTAACAGCATTATGGTCGGAGCATTATGGTCGGAGCAGGCCCAAAGGATAGAGGCAGACCAAGAAAAACTACAAGTGCCAAGGAAAGATAGGTGGGAGACCAGGAAGGCTGTGCAGACACATGCACAGATATGTGCAGAGTGAATGCGAATCTTTCTTCCCCAACGTAGATGTAACTTTCTGTGTACTGACATGACCTTAGAAATCAGTTTTAGTACTTGAAAATGCGTCGACTGCAGTTTCATCAGTGATACACAGCATTTCTTAATTAACAAGCTATAGCTTAGGGCCCCACTCTCTTGGAGGCCCCCAAAAAAATTAAAGGAAAAAAACCTGGATGTACATTTCTAAAATATAAGATAAAAAAACAAACAAAATAAAACCTACATACAGCAACAGTGTTTTGTGTTGCGTAGGCTCCTATGATGTAAGTAATGGGCCCCGCCTGCTAGCCTGCTCCCTAACATATCACTGGTTTGCTCATTTCTATATGTGGCTTTAAATACCTATTAGGTCCATAAATTACCACACTCCACAAAAAACAGCGACAATTTGTTGTTGACAAAGGACAGCTGGACATATAAAGGGCCCCATTGCCTTCAGTAGCTTAGGGCCTCATCAAACCTAAATCCGACCCTGGAGTGCTTCCAACTTCAAGCTCTACCTCTACTTATTTGCCGCCTAGGGAGTGACCCTGATGAACACGCCAATTTGGCCTGCTCCACATTCTGCCCATTCATTGCCTTTCTTGAACTCTCAACATTTTCAAGCACTTCATCCGACACAGCAGCTTTGCCACTGTTCGGCACCCTCCAATTTCATCACTGTTTTCCTAACAGTTTTCTTTAAATCTTGGAACTTGTTTCCCACTTAGTCTTAATTCATTAATTCATTGTTATCTTAATCCATCTGCTTTTCTAGTGTCTCCCCGCCATCTCCCCGCCCTGCACTGTGGCTCCTGCTGCCTGAGGAGAAACAGCAAATGGCGCCCCGCCCTAGGTCAAGGCGGAGAGTAGTTAGGCTGGCCAAGTTATTTTGGCACCTTAGACACAAAATCCCACACATGCCTCTTCCTGGGAGTAAAAATACAATAAGAATAAAATAAATAAATGTTCAAGTTGTCGCTAGCCTTTCATGACACTCAAAAACTCGCTCTAACGATAGGACTGGCTACTCTTTTGCTTTCCTGAATGGAGTCAGACAGAAATATGATGAATCAGTGTAAGGGACATACACAGGATGGGCATCGTGAGGATGAGATAGTCAGGAGACAAAAAAGGGAGAGCAAGACAAAAACATAGTGAGGGAGATTGTAATTGCATACGCACCAAATTGCAATTTGCGTACACACCAAGTGTTTAAAGCACATTCTTACAACAGGATTTGAAAGAGGAGCATAGTGAACCAAGGCATAGCCTTGCCTGGCCTAGCTGAAATCTTGTTTTTGAACTGACTGCGCAGAAATGATTAGATGAGGAAACCAAAATAAATTCTTTTTTAGAACAAGGAGTTAATCTGCAGCGTCCCAGTTTCACAATGAAATTGATGTAAGGCCTAAATGACTACATCTGCAGAACATTTTGTTTTCTGTATGATACAAAATTTCACCACAGAAAGATATGGTGCTATGACTTGCAGGCTGTGAAATGCTGAAAACACAGGTAATAAAATAAAAAATAAAATAAAATTGAAGGTAACTAAAATGCAACCTTCTGATAAAAGGGAAGTGTCATCTGGATCGTCTCGTGCTTTCTATAATATGATGGTGCAACAGCATGCCAAATGTTAATTTGCACTGAAATGAGCCCGTGACACCAGATGTAAACGTCTTTGGCATCGGTTGGCATAGCTGGACTTCCACGGGCCCAGCCATTCCTGTTAAACTACATGCCACAAACACCATTCAGACAGGCCCTCTGCCTCATAAACTCTGCTGATCACCTGTTATAGATTCATTATGTCTGCTTCTTGACATTTTTTTAAAAAAAAATTTGCTACAGATCCCTAATACAAAATGCTCATGCGACTTGTGAAATATGGAAGTGCATGTTTAGAGATCACATTTCACTTTAAAATACACACAAGAGGCAAGATATTGCCACTCCTGTATGTTCAAGGTCTTAATATCCAGCATACTATTGGTGTGTATTTTGTATCCAAATATAAATGGCCCTTATTTTTTTATAGGAAGCTACTGATCCATTCTCATGGATGGGAGCATGGTGCATAGATAGTATTTCAGTATCTCTTTGCTGATTCATGCCTATGGAGCTAACCAAATTTCCACTGGTCTCATTTCCCAAGTGTTCATTTTTCATTTCTTGAGCACAGCTTCATGCTGACTCACTCTTTATCTAGTTCCTGTGTCCTTTCCCCAGCCTTTCTAAGTACCGTATGTGCTTCTTCTACGGTTTGATTCTTTATCTGCTCAGTTTCTATGTAGCCAAATAAACTATTTTTGTAATCTATAAGCCTTGCTTGGATGCTAGCCAAATTTATTTCACTCCCACCACTGTTCATCTTTTTTCTTTTATATTTGCAATACACGTTAAACACCTTGCAGTTATTAACTACAACAAAACATTGGGATATCTCTTGTTTCCAGGATGAGAGGGCCTCTCAATCCTCAGTTGTACTCTCCGTTTCTGGGAAGTTAGTCCATGACGGAAACCGGCTCTTGTGTCATGGAGATGGTGAGGGGATTTTAAGTATATCCTCCTAGTACACTCAGCTGTTATGGGAAAGGAACCCAATACTGAATTCTTCCACACCCAGAAACACAGATTTTAAATGTAAAAATGAATAAAGATGAGATTCACAAATACTGCTGTGAATTTAAAATACTCATGTTTTGTTTCCAAATGAATCTTATTGCCTTAAAATAAATCAAGTGCAGTTGTATATCAAAAGACTTTAATTCTGTTCTTATCTGTACAGCACAGTTCTTTTCACAAGTCACCATGTTTGCCTTGTAAGTTCCCGTAGGTCTCATTTATCTTCTTACACTTTTAAGAGACCAAGCAGGAAAAACAATGATGAAATTATTTTATATCCCTCCTTTCTGTGCGCTACTTCTGCAAGTGTTTCCTATATTTGGGTCAAGGTTGGCTGGCAAATGTTCATGTCACCGGAAGCACTTTTGAGGAACTGTTGTGGAAGGTCAAATTGCTTAAGTATCCTGAAGCAGGATCTAGCTCCACTGAACCTGCAGCCTGACTTGACCCCCCTTCCCCTTCCCAGCAGCCCAGTAAGTTGTACCTGCTCCCCTTCAACCAGTGCATTTGAACTTCTGTTCCTCACATTGTGGCACCTCACTTCTGGAGGGTTCTGTTATGCTTTTCAATAAATCTAAGCATTGGGTAAAATGGGAAATCAGAAAAATATAACTACAGTGGTACCTTGGTTCCTGAACAGCTTAGTTGTCAAACCAGTTGGCTCCTGAACACTGCAAAACTGGAAGTAAGTATTCCGGTTTGCAAACGTTTTTTGGAAGCCAAATGTCCGACACAGCTTCCGTGGCTTCCGATTGGGTGCAGGAAGCTCCTGCACCCAATTGGAAGCTGCACCTTGGTTTTTTAATGGTTTTGGGAGTCGAACGGACTCCTGGAACGGATTAAGTTCGAAAACGAAGGTACCACTGTATAGGCATAGGGCAGGCGTGGGGAGCTTTTTTTTTCAGCCTGAAGGACACATTCCCTCATGGGCAACTTCCCAGGGGCCACATGGGAATAGGGCCAGAGGCAAATGGGGGAGGGGCAATGGATGTGGCTCCAACTTTGGTGTAGTAGGCAACATTCAGCCATGGAAAACCCATATTTCCTTCACCCACACTCACAAACACAATGCTCTGAAGCTTCACTGAGGAAGCATAGACAAGATCAACTTAAAAACCACACAGCAGGCTGCGCAAGCAGAACAGAAACTAAAAACACCGTGCCTGAGAGTTAACTCAGGCAGCTCCTCGTACAGCAGGCCAGGAGAGCCAATACACTGCACTCTCCACACTGCATCCAGGTAAGCAGAAGACACTATTGCTTTGAGGACCCATTTCCACCAGGAAGAAGCATTTGAGAAGGGCATGGGAGGGTGTGACCTGGGGAGAGGCGTGTGTGAGGAGGAGCATGGCCTAAGAAGAGTCCCAGGGGTCTGGCAGAGAGACCTGAGGGGTTACATGCAGGCCCCAGGACTGAGGTTCCTCATCCCTGAAAAAGAGGGACAAGAACGTATCCTTTTCACTGCACTTTGCAAAATTCTGTAATCTAAACCCTGAGAGAAGCAACGAGAGCACGAGATTGCTTGTTAATATTTTAGAACCTGAACCTGAACGGCTGTGTCAGATACAAAAATCACTTTCAGCTGTCAAAATATCCCATGCAATTTCCCAGAGCATAAAAGCAGAAGGTCTGTCAGATGTGAAAGGTGGTAAGAAAGGCTGTGGTATTTACTCCTACCTTGTCAAATAAATTCTGCACCATAGTTGAATTCCGTATGTGCAGCACCCTGGAATCTTGGATAAAACACCAAATAATACTGGCCAGATATTGCAGCATTAACCACCATCACAGTGACTCTTGCAGCTCCTGAGCCGAATGGGAGTGTGGGAGTCTTTGTATATTACCCAGTCCTATGATTTGAGTCCATGTGGTGTAGTGGTTAATGTTGGACTAAGACCTGTGAGACCAGGGTTCAAATTCCCATACAGCCATGAAGGTCACTGTGTCACCTTGGGCCTAACTTAACACTCAGTCTTGTTGTGAAAATAAAATAGCGAGGGGGGAAACATACATGCATGCCACCTTGAACTCCTTTGGGGGGGGGGGAAGATATCATATAAATCAAATAAATAATGTCTGAAGAGGACTTTCTTCAATAGAGATACACACTGTCCATTCTCACAGCTGTGGTCCAACTCAGATGCAGATTACAAGGTGTTATTTAAAGGTCGAAAAAGAAATAATATAATGTACAGTTTAGGGTGCAAACCTGTGGTCCTTGGAAGGTGACCCAGGAGGCATAGGATAGTGGGGGTCTCCCTTCCCACAGAGACAAGATGTGTCTTTGGAAGCCTTTTTGGTATAACTGCTGTCCCTTCACCATCAGTGCTCCAATGGTTGTAAGGAGATAAAATGAGTGTGAGCGGGGTGTGTCCCACCTCCTGTCCTGGTCAGCGCATGACTGGCATGGCTCTGGAGCTGGTGTTTCTTCCAGCCTGGATTCTCCAGTTGGGTTGCTCTGTCCATTATTACAACCAGGAGGGGCGCCATTTAAATCATTTGCCATCGGCACAGAAATGCCTTGGGCCATCTCTGGGTGTTTGTGCCCTAGCTCTCTGCTTGTTCCATGTATATTCAATAGCATACGAGGTTTGTGTTAAGTGAAGTCTGACCACAGGAACAAATTACCTTGCCTTTAAGGCTAATTTAAGCCTGAGGGAACTGGTTGTTTAGCAGGGAGTTGAATGCACATGTGGCTTCTCAATCAATAATTATGACTTCCAACAATTTCTGGAATCTCCACAGGACTATCAGCATTCCAGAGCAGAGGTGAAGGCAGGGACGAATTCCTTCCTCTCCGTTTTTTTTCCTCCAGCACCCCATGGAAAAATTCTTTCAGAAGAATGCCTTGCTCTTCACAGGTGCTTTATGGCTGATATTTCATAGGAAAGAAGCAATCAGGTAGCATGCAGAGTTCTACTTGAGCGTGAATAATATACCACATCCTCTGTTGCCAGAAGCATGAGGGTTTCCTGTTGATTTTAGTAAGAGGTGAATTTTACTTGCTTTCACATCTTCATTGTAAGCTGAAGGTGAGGAAGTTTTGAGAAAACCTGCTCAAAAAGCCAGCTTATGGAAACAGAATCTACGATTACAACCCAGAGCTTTAGATCATCCTCTGTTTGGTATCACATCACTAAGGTGAAGAAGCGAACAATATTTTTTTAAAAGGAAAATCATTACCATTTGGGGGCTTACAAGAAATTGTGTGAAGATGGAGGATAAATGATGGGAAAATTAATGTAATACCCTGAGACTCCTGAGTTCCAGGTCTGTTATTTATTGTTTACTTATTTGCTTTATTTATATCCTGCTTTTCCTCCAACAAGCTCAAGGCAGCATACATAGTTCTCCATCGTAGGTTAGAGTTAAGGTTGGCGACTGGTGAATTTTATGACTGAGTGTATATTTGAGCATAGATCTCCCCAGGTCTCGTCTGGCACTCTAATTAGGAGTTGCCAACATTTTTGAATCTGTGGGCATATTTCATATTTTTCATCAATCACAAAATGTCTGCAGTAGGGGTGTGGCCTGTCCATACATCATTCTGCTTTGTTCTGGGATGCTTCTCTAACAATACTGCATTATTGCCCGCTGGAGGGGCACTCTTGGACTATAGTGCAACAAAAGTGGGACACACACACACACACACACACACACACACACACACAAAGCACAGGACATGCACTGATTAGAAACTTAGCAACACTCTGCATGAACAGTGTTGAAAGCAAGGTCACATATATACAACCAACCTGATAACATTGTGAGCATAAATCATCACAAATGCAGAATTAAAAGGAGATTTCACATAGATTCCTGATCATCACCATCTTTCTCTCTGAAGAAGCTTCCCACTGAAGTGACTACCATGTCCCCACAAAAATGGTAGGCATATCCTTTGACTGCAGAAAAGTGCAAAGCCTGGGCGAGTGCCCACCAGTCATATCTTACCTTTAATCAAGTGCACTTGTGCTCATTGACGAAGCTTAGATACTGTGTTTCACTGCCATATTTACTCATAATACATAATCTGGATTATTTCTGCTCACTTTATTGCTCTGTTGAACTTTCTACTTATAGAAGTTCCTGTTTAAATAAGGAACAAACAGTCCAGAGCCCATATGCTGTAACTTGCTGCATCTCTCCCTCTCTGCTGCCTAGGTTTTCTGGCTCTTCTCACAGAGGACTGGTTCACGTGTTACACTCAGTGGAGTGTCACCTTTTAATTTGTGAGGGCTCTCCATTCACGTGAGTTGTGTAGTAAGAGCTCACAGCTCATGAGTTTCAGACACAGTAAAGTCTGCGATTTTGGATACTATCTGGAAATCATGAAAAATGACACGGCTGAGACTCATTCATCTATCAACTCACATATTACTTTGCTCATGCAAATGAAAAATTCATGTGCATAAAAAAGTGTGTGTGTGCACACACACACGCACACAGAGGCACGTTTGGCAAAAGACAGTTGCAACTAATGCCACAATGAGACTTGACTTATTTTGAAGACAAAAACAATGAAAGGTTTCCCAGGATGGCATCTGCACAACACAATAAAAAACCAATAATGTAAACAATAATATTAAGAAGAAATAGAAAGGACTTATAAAATAGCATATGGTAATATTAAAATGCCTTAGAAAATAAAAAAAAGTTTTTTTGCCTGGTGCTAGAATCACAAAATAAGTGGGTGCCAAATATCTCTCTCTCTTTTGCCATTCACTATAACTGTAATTGCAGGACAGGCGACAGGGATAAGAAACCTCAGGCCTGGGGGCCCAATGTGTCAATCCAGGACTTTCTATATGGCCCTCAAGACTCTCCCAAGACCAACCACTCACCCCACCTGTTCTCTGCCCTCATCAAGTCCCCTTGCCTCTTGCTTGCCTGGATGTGTTTATGTACACAAGTTTTTGCTTCTCCCCAGCCCATGACTGTGTTGTATGGAGAAGGAAAGAAGCCAAATTCTGGCCTTACTGCTTGTGGTTTATGTGGCTTGTTTCTGTTTGTGTCCCCCAACTTTTACAACCATCAGAAGGTGGGGAGAAGCAAAGCACTAGCGCATGTTATTCCCTCGTTAATTTTATTCTTAATGCTACCTGAAAATGGGGCCAAAGTTGGAGGAAAATAAAAGATGGGGGTACTTAGAGAAAGATGCATGTAAGCAGAACTTTTAACTATTTGTCAGCATAAAAACCCCTATTTCAGAGAAGTGCTACCCTGAATATTTTTCTTATGAGTCAGCGTTTTAGATATATGGCATTTTGTTTGCCCAGAAGCTATAGGATATTCCTCTTTGTACCTTGTGAATTCAATCACTTCTGGCAGGGAGGGGGTCTTGCGGTGGCTGACTTCCCAATTTAAATTCTGTTGGGCCTATGGAACAGAGATGGTTCTGTTCAGGATAGACTCTTTGTTCCCCCTCGATGAGAATTTAAAAATTGTTCCCAGTGGTGATATCATAGCCATCTACATTCCCACAGTTGCAACAATGGAAGTTATTGAGAGGCATGACATTTTCGTTTAATACTTACATTGTTACATACTTTTATTTTTTTATATATATAAAAAAGAACCAAAAAAAGTGTTTTGACAAAGAATGTTAGAATGATAGAAATATATTGTTGGAAGAGATTCCATGACTAATCAGTTTTTCATTAGCACAGCAGCTTTGGGTGGGGGCAATAGAGTTGCTCTGAATGTGGACGTAGCTGGTGGCTGTTGTGGGATGCCTCTGTATATAACAATGATGTTTCTTCCTGTAATCCTGAGCACAAGTGGGCCAGATTCAGAAAATAAGTAACTATGGGCAATGGCCATGAAGCTAGTGACCAGTGTTCAGGGATGATGGAAGCTGCTGTCCAACAATATCCAAAAGGCCACAAGTTATTCATACCTCCCATAAAACATCCCGAAAATGATCAGCTAACCAACCATTCCTTGTAAAATCTCAAAATCGAACAAATTCACATCCTGCTAAACGTATTGCAGAAACTCCTACAGAGGCAGGGAATCTGTCCTTTCATTCTTCCAGGGATAGTGCAGTGTAATTACAATCATAATTACAATTGTCAGTGTTGTTGTTGTTATCAAGTCGTGTATCCACAGCAGTGACGAGAGGAGAAATGACCTCTGGGAGGAGTGCAGAGAGAAGAAACGCCATGGTGCATCTGCAGCAGCACAACTGGAAGCCTTCATCTGCCCCTGCTGCAAAAACATGTCTCTCCTGCATCGGTCTCTACAGCCACAACCGGCGCTGCAACCTTCCATCAGCTTGACTTCAACCCCAAAGGCGCACTCCTCCATTGTCTCCCAAGATATTATTATTATTATTATTATTATTATTATTATTATTATTATCCCAATTGACCAAAACAGAAGACACTTGAGTCAAGAGAAACATACAGATTGATATACAGAATAGAGCTCAATTTTCTCCATTATGGATATTCTGAATACTGCCACTTAACATTCATTTGGAAGAAGTGCATCATTGTGGTTTGTGTTCCTGGCAAATGATTCAGATGATCTGTTTCTTTCCCTCCAGCCACCGCTCTAAATGTAGTGCAACCAAAGCTGGTTGGTTTTCTGGGTGTGATTTTTTTTTAGCTTTCCATGCTCTGAGTTGCAATGTGAATTGCACATTACACACACCAACACACACATCAATAATGGATTGTAGAAGAGGACATCAAGGCATTTTCTGAATCTTCTTACCTTTGTTCCTTTATTGCATTACTGATAGATTCCCTCCTTCTTTTAAAAAAGATGATTGAATGTTTCTTTAAAAAAAATGCTCTCTCATTTTAAATTAAGTTTTATGAATTATCTACATCACTTATAATCTGTCTGTTGCGTGAGCCAGCTAAAACTCATTAAGCATATCCTAACTATCATTTTGAACTTAATGGTTTCATCAAACGTATCTGTACCTTCACTCCTAGCATACTGGACAATGCCTTTAAGGTTCTGAGGATTAATGAAAATATCATTCTTATCTGATTGTGCCTAAATTAAATCCTCATTTGAGAGAGGTAGCTGCTTCTAATGTATTTCTAGTGGCGTTTGTTGAAATCCAACAAAACTCTGTAAAGTAAGGAAATTAAATATTAAAATGGAATACCCTGTAAAGACTTTGCCTCTTCACACGAGAGTTTTCCCAACTGGTGTTCCTCTGACTCTTTGCTAAGGAATCTACAAGTATAATGGCTGTCTTTGTTGAGGATTTTTGTGTTGGTCCTGCCACCTGGCCATCAGAAGATGCAGACCACTGTGACCCATTGTTTCCAGACAATGAGTTATTGTTGTTTTTCGTATAAATTACAAGTTCCCTGTTCAAGAGGCGTGCAACTGAAAATTTGTCATAGCAGAGACAACTGAGAAAGAAATTGAGGCATGAGTTCCTGCTAGCAGATCCTTGGATGGCTTTAAAAGAAGATCGAATAAATTCACGGAGGATAAAGCTATCAATGGCTACTAGCCATGATGGCTATGCTCTGGCTCGACAGCTGGAGATAGCAGTACTTCTGAATACTAGTTGCTGGAAACCAAAGGAGGGAAAAGTTTTATTGTACTCGGGTCCTGCTTGAGGGTTCCCTATGGGCATCTGGGTGGTCGCTGTGAAAACAGGATGCTCGACTAGTGGTCCATTGGCCAGATCCAATGGGCTTTTCTTATGCTCATATCCTGCCTCACCATTTATTTCTAGTGTTATTTATTTAACTAGTTTCCCTTTATTTTCTTTCTCTTTTGTTATTAATAATTTATTTTAGATTTTCACATTTCTATTTGTTTCCACCATACTATTCCCCATATTTTGTCAATCCCTCCTCCCCTTCCTGCCCTCCACTTCCCACAAATGCAGTTAATTATACAAATCCTGGTGTGATAAGAGGGTTAAAGAAAAATTAAATAATCCACACGTTATTCATGAAAAAAAATCTTAAATAAACTAGAAGAAAGGAGGAAGGGAATCAAAGTTTTATTTTTAGTTTATCTATTTAACAAAATCTCTAGGGACTTACTTAAATTAACTCTGTGGTTGGGCAGACCTGCTAGACCAGATTTTACTAGTGACACACTGTTCTTTATATTATTACCTTTATCCTCCCTAGCAAGGCTAATCATTAACCGATTTGAGATTTTGCTCATAAAATCTATAAGCTGTATGACAATGTGGCTATGTGAAATCAACTAAACTACTCTAAATTTCTGTGGAAAATACTGAAATTTGCATCCTAAGTACACACTTCCTGGAATGAAGAAGAATCCATGAAACAAGATTGCCATTCAATTTTGAATTTTGTGGCATGTAGAAAAACAGTTCACAGAGAATTTTCCACAAGACGTTTCCTTCCCTAAATGGAATGGCTTAATATTGTACTGGGCCTTATTAGTACATTAAGTGCTGAATTAAGAATTGTTTTCTTGGGGTTATTTTTTACTTTATATGTCATGAGCAGCTAATCAGTGCAATCTAAAGAAAGCAACATATATAAGCAGAATAAAAACAAAACTCGTGATGCATTCTAGCATGAACTGCAGCTTCTAATTATAACCAGCATCTCCTGAAACAGGCATCTCATATATGTCTATTGTATTTGATTTGGGAATGAATTTATTTCCCAGTTTCACATAGCAGCTTCAGTTCTCCAGTTAGGGACTAATCCATAGCTACAAACACAACAACTCTTAATTTGTAGGAGAGTTGTGCACTACGATCAGCCTTGAAGGCCCTTCCTTGACACACACCCCAATCAGGTGGTGACTAAAAATAGGGCCCTTTTAGTGGTGGCACCCTGGTTTTGCAATTTCTTTTCCAAGGAGATTTGTGTGGCATCAACATCTTTTCAGCACTTGGAACTCCACGTTTATTTCTCCAGGCCTTTTAAATTTAACGTTTTAACTCTGACTTTTATTAATAATTTTGTTTCTTGTACGGTTTCATTTGTTTTTGGTATTGTTGTGATTATCTTCATTATTGCGTATGTCACTCTGAAAATTCCTGGAACTGAAGACTAGTACTTAAGAGAGAGAAAAGAGGGGTGGCTCCCATGGTTGCTCTGTGCACAAATCAGATCTCCTGCTTAAGCCATTTCCCATTCCCAGAGAGATGATGTTGCGGGCTGGGACCAAGCCCTCCCCATGCGCAAGGGGCGGGATAGCCCCTGCGCCATTGGATGGTCCTTGGCCACATCATCCTTAGGCTGCCCAATCCAGATAGTCCGGGGGCATGGCGCAGGCTATTTAAACTACCCATGGCCAAGGACTCACACCTGTTTTCTCCTTGCTTGGTCAGTTCTGCTTATGTACTAGACCTGTTGGATTGCTTTAATGTGATTTTTGTGGAGTACCAACACAGCAAAACTGTATTGGATTTTGCAAAACTGTGGTGATCCGCATTGATCATACAAGCAACTATATTTTGTATCACCTGAACTATCTGGCTTGTGTATAGGACAAAATTGATCTGAACTCATTTAGAACCCCAGTGGAAATGAAATCAAGGAATAGAGGTGAACGGAAAGGACATCTTGAAAGTACCACAGTTCCCAAGAGACAGATCAGGCACACTGAAATGCAATGCTGTGAATTTGGTGTGGGGTTAGGCTGTATGACTGAGCCCCTTCTATTTCCTGGATACAGCAAGAGTTGAAATCTAATGGAGGATTCAGTTGTTGGAATAGCCAAGGCAGTGTCTTGGTAAGCTAATGCCCCCCTAAGTATGGGTTTTTGGGGTAATATAGGAAGTGACTTTGTGCCAGAGGGTAAAGAGGTGGGTCCTCCTCCCTCTGCTGGATGTCGGTGAGAAGGACAAGGGCCAGAGGTGTGTGAGAGCTAGGCCAGAAGCAGGCTGCAGGCAGAAGCCCAAGAGCAGGGGTCCCCAAACTAAGGTCCGTGGGCCGGATAAGGCCTGAGGGACTCGTTTATCTGGCCTGCGGCAACCCCTGCTGCCTGTGGCCGCCACCTGCTCTTACCAGCCCAGCCCGGTGCTGTGCGGCTGCCCACTTCCGGGTTGGAGGAGCACCGGAAATAGTTTGTGTGCATGCACAAGTGTTATTTCCGGTGCACATCCAGGTCGGAGGAGGCCCGTGCACATGCACACAAGCTATTCCCAGTGCTTCTCCGACCTGGAAGTGTGCCGGAAATAGCATATGGGCACGCGCTCCCCCGCCCTCCGGCCCACTGCGTGATCGGCGCTGGAGACACCGGCCCGAGGCAAGGTAAGTTTGCTGACCCCTGCCCAAGAGGGAGAGACATGCTTGATTTCTGCTTGAATCCAAGGCTGTGAGAGAAGCAAAACTTTACTGAGTGTTAATGCTGTGAGCCCCTCCATTACAGGCTCAGGTTGTCTGTACCTGTAAATAGACATCACAGTCTCCACTGTTCCTCATTCCAAGGAAACTGAACTCTGGGTAAGTGCCTGGAACCCCTGGAATCTTGCACCGCTCAGAGATTGGGGTTGTGTGCAACTGTATCCTTTGTGAGCCAGAGCGTTTCCTATGGAACTTCCCTGCCTGCAGTGCAGGAGTAAAGGACCATTCAGTGTTTGCATGTGTGATTAAAGCTTGCTGGGGTAAACCTATCATAAAGCCTTCATTTTCTATAAAGAGTTATCACCTTAAGCACACTGAACTTCGAGGCAAGCCCAGTTGAACTGAATGTGACTAGTGAACTCAAGTAGAAGTACTTGTTTGCTTGCTGGTTAAATGTTACCAATATACAGTATTTGCTTTTTACCTACTTCTTCCTAATCTTTTTTTTTATTATTTTTTTACATCAGATGTGAGGGAAACCATTTGAACTCTGCAGGTCAGATCCTTAGCATCAACCTTGAAAATCGGTGGAACAATCTACCTGTCAATCACATGGCATTATGATGATGCCAGGTGACTGGTGTGTGGGTTGTCTCGCCTACCTGTCAAAATATTCTGTGCAGTTCCCAAGCATCTGACAGACAACTGAATGTCAGGCATTTGCGAACCCCAACACAAAAGGCTTTGCCAGCCCTATGCTCTCTTAGGAGGCTTGGTGCCGCACTGGGCACAGCAGTTCTCACCCAACAGTCAGGTGGCTGTCAGGCACGTCAGAACCCCGTGAAAAGCAGCAAAGAGCAGGCCTTGGCTCTCTTGCCCTCGCAAATGCACAGTTGGAAGCACACTTTAAGGCTCTTGGTTGTGTCTTGGCAGTCGTGTCCCTACCTGTCCCCATGCCTGGCATTGCATATGAAACCAGTTGGTTCATTGCCAGCACCAGCTGTGACTCAGTGCGGCATCATTCATTCCACCTTAAAAGTGTTTCCACATCAGCATTGCTCATCCCTGCAAGTTTTCTGCAATGAGAACACATGTCAGGCCTCAGGGAATCAGCTTCCTCCCTCCTTGGCAGTAGATAAGCAGAACAAACTGAAAGGAGTCTTCTTCCCAGCTTTTCCCTTCTGAACTATACCCCTCCACAAACCACTGTTCTAAATCTATAAAGTGGTACCTCGGGTTACAGACACTTCAGGTTACAGACTCCGCTAACCCAGAAATAGTACCTCGGGTTAAGAACTTTGCTTCAGGATGAGAAAAGAAATCGCACGATGGCGGCGCGGCAGCAGCGGGAGGCCCCATTAGCTAAAGTGGTACCTCAGGTTAAGAACAGTTTCAGGTTAAGAATGAATCTCCAGAACGAATTAAGTTCTTAACCCAAGGTACCACTGTATTGTCTTCCTGCTGCTGGGGAGATTCAGGGTCAGGGGAAGGAGGAGGCTCCCACCATGCCTCCTCATTGTAGCCGTCCTCAGCACAGTCCCTGACAACACGACACCATCAGCATCAAAATATCAGTTCTGTATCCTCTCCACTTTAATCTGGATTTAAACTTTCTGAAAATCCATTAAGTTAAAAAACAACAACACCTGTGGTCAGCTGTAATATCTGAAGGGCCAATTTGTAACATTAAGCCTCTCTTTGGAAGCACCCTGGGAGCTGTGTGAGCTGACACACTGAATTGTAGTTCGTGTGCTTAGCATAGTACTTGCAACAGTTTCTGTATTTACCTGAATAAAGACATGAAAAGAATTCATTCTTTGGAGAGTATTTTTAAGTACAATGCCGGTGTGAAGATCAAACTCTTGGGAT